TAAATGAAAATTAATATATTTCTACTATCATGTATTCAACCATCCTACAGTCTTGGTTTGTTCATACCACCATGGCACTTTTTTCAAACCATAGCTATGCTTTTATTTCAATACTAGTCAATACCATATGGTATAGACTGATAAAAAATGGCTCAATTTTTTTTGTTTGAAAAATATATTAAAGTGAATATCATTTTGAAGAGCACAATTAATCTGATCTAACTGTACAAAAAAAAATTAAATTTCGACTTAAAATGACTGAGAAATCGTTCGTCAAAGATTAAAGAGGGAAAAATGAAAGGCTTTCCAGGAGAGAGAGGATGCTGATGTCATGCTGATGTGGACGTGTTAGCCATGGTTACTCACCACAAGGTTACTCACCGGATCTGCTCCCAAAGAAGGGTACCGGGGAGCAGATCAGATCAATAACCTTATGGTGAGTAACCATGAGTAACTAGTCCATATCAGCATGACATCAGCATCCCTCTATTCATGGAAAGTTTTTTTTATATATTTTCCCTTTTAATCTTTAACGGAAGATTTCTCTCGCGTTTTAAGTCAAAATTTAAATTTTTTTGCACAGATAAATCAGATTGATTGTGTTCTTTAAAATGATATCCACTTTGATATATTTTTAGAGCAAAAAAATTTGAGACATTTTTTACCATTCAATACCATATGTAGGGCTGGAAGTTTGGTACCGGTATTTGGGATATACCGAATACCGTAACGAATTTGTATATATTTGGCATTACCTAATACACATATTATTTCTTGGAATTGGGATTGGGATTCAATTTCAATTGTTATTCGGTATTATGGATTACGGGATTGGGATCGGTATATACCAAACAATACCAAAATATAAGCTAGTGTGTATTTTATCCTCTCAACTAGACTCTCTCATTCACTATTACACAACCCTCAACCACCAATCTATTGTTATTTTCATAACACCAAAAGACAAACACTAGTATTAGTCTTCTCTCAGCCTCCAATTCGTCAAATTAAAGATTACCAATAACAAAAACTTGAGATGTCAACTCTACTCCATTCTCCTTATCCATATCCTAGCTCTAGCCAAACTCAAAACTCTTTGTTTAGTCTTTTTGTCCTATATTAAACAATCAAATCTAATTTTTATATTTAATCATTAATTGTAAAGGTAATTAATTTCGTATTCAATAATACCGATTGGGATACCGAAGTACCGATTGAGATACCAAAATATTTAGGGATTGGGATAGGGATTGATTCTAGGGTGTAATTCGGTATTTGGGATTTCGGTATTTGGTATTGGGATACCGATACCGTACAGATTTCCACCCCTAACCGTATGGTATGCTCCTATTTAATACCATATGGTAAGAAAGCGTACCATGATTGTATGAACATACCAATATGGTAGGAAGGTTGAATACATGATAGTATGAGTATACTAACTGTCATTTACGATTTTCATCATTGTTTACTACAAGTTACCACCCACATACCATAGTGGTAAAGTATGATAACTTTTAATCCTGTATTTTTTTCATGCAAAAATTTGTAGATTCAATAGATCATGATGAACTCGTTCCTTCTAAGCAAATGTTTTAAAAAAAGACTTAAAAACGAAGAAGTTACCATATGGTATGTAGTTGGTAACGGGAGATATGAAATAAAGTTTCTCGAAATATATTGAAAATTCATCTCATTTTGTAGAGCATAACGAACTCGTTCCATCTGTGAAAAAAATTGAAATCCGAGTTAGAAAGAAGAAGATAAGAGTGGATTAAGAAAATTAGGGAAAATAATATGTCTTTAATTCACAACCCTTAGATATGAATTTTCTGGGTCCACTTAGATCTAAAGGTTCATATTTAGTTACTTATAGGTTAGTTACCAATGATGACTAACGGTATCCCAAGCCGGGTACCAGGGAAGGGAAGGTGTGTGGTCGGTTGGGGCCTGGGGGAGATTAGATAATGGCCAATATTTCCATTTTGTTAAATTTTTTGGTTTGACATAAATGATGAAAATAAATTGTTGGAGATTTTTTGTTTTTAAAATTATTAGATTTTGTTTCCTGAGGATGTGGCATTCACATCATCAATGTGAGGAGATTTGCTAAAAGTCAAAATTGTAGATCGATCAATTTGACGACCAATCCACGATCCATCCAAATTTGTACAAATTTGGTTTTAAATTTTTTCCTATGGTAGGAATTTTGAAATTTTAGAATAAAAGTCATTAGTATAAAGTTTAAACCAAACTAAAATGTTAACTCTAACAGAAAAGAAATATTTTGTTTTCTCCCTGTATTTACTTTTAGTAGCTTGCATTTTACATGCATGATAATATGATATATCTAATCTTTCGCTTATATTGATGATGTCATATGCAAAAAATTATATTCAAATAATATTTAGCATAAAAAATTTCTTTTTTAATTTTTATAATAAAATATTGAACAAATTATCTGAGTGAAATAACAAATAAAACATAATTAGATATACACAAAAATAATGGGCCGAGTGCCAAATTTTAGGCATAAGCCAATGATAGCAAAACTTATTTTGGTAGAGTTAAAATCACAAAACTACCTCCAAAATTTGACATAGCATTGGAGATGGTCTGTTCAATGGTAAAGAAAAAAAGGAGATGGTCTACGAGGCTCAAGTGTGAAAGGGGCAAAAATTACATCGGGCGAGAGATTACTTATGAAAAGTGAAAATTAGACTGATCCATAAGAAATTGATTAGGGTTACAATCAATTCCATTAATTTCGGATGTTAGGACGAACCACTCGACTACAGAAAAAAAGAAATGGATACTCATTGATAAGGAACACCCAGACCAATGGGTCGGGCTTTCTGCTTGTGGTCTATAAAGAAAATGGCTCCCCGCTCCAGCTAACATGTGCAGGCCTAATTTCCCTTGCGCTAAGCAAGTGATTTTCGGCCCAACCACTTTATTGTGGGGACGACTTATTTGTTTGACATATGATTAATTCTGGCCCAGCCCAGCTCAGTTAATTAATTCATCATTTAAAATCCGCTAGAGATAGCTCCACACAGTTCATCAATTAATGATTATCCACCAAGTTCAAACCCAGCCCAGCAATCACCCTCCACTACCTGAGGTGTAATGTGACACTGATTCGACCTTTTAGTTCGAGGAAAACATGAGCTCTGATATTCTGTCACCGGCGACCAGTCTCAACCCTTCCGATCGGCCACCGGACCTGATCACAGCCTCACCGAGCCCATCGTCGACATCTGGGGAGATACTGAACAACGGGGATACCATGGCAGTGGATGATCCATCTATCGTAAGGTCTTCCGAAGGGAATACGAACAGAGCTCCACTGACCTATGCAAGTGCTGTCACTGGACCAACGATGAGTTCTCCCTCCGGGGTGATTTCATGGACGCCGGTAGGCGAAAAGGATCTGGTCCAGGGATTATTCAATGGGGAACCTGAGCTTATTGTCTCAGCCGATCTCAAAGCTAAACTCAGCAAACCCTGGCAACGATCCCTTGTTGTTCGTACCCTGGGAATACAACTCTCCTTCACTGTGTTCAGCAGCAAGTTACGGGCGCAATGGCGTCCAACAGGTGCTCTGGAGATTATGTTCCTAGGGCAGGAGTGTTTTCTTGTGAAACTCAGCAACGATGCGGACTACTTTCGGGCGCTTACTGAAGGCCCCTGGACTATTTTCGACCATTATCTCCTAGTACAGCAATGGACCCCTGAGTTTCGACTCTCCAACAAGCTGCCGAGCACCATGACAGTTTGGGTTCAATTGCCAGCGTTTCCAGTGCATTTCTACCATCGGGAGGTTCTGTTCTCAGTAGGAAACATGATTGGGCGGACTATTAAGCTTGATTATCATACCCTACATCAACAGAGGGCGAGATTTGCCAGGATCGCGGTTGAAGTCGATTTATCCAAGCCTCTAGTCACTAGGATTCGACTCGACGGGGCATGGCAGTACCTAGAATATGAGAATCTGCCCGTACTCTGCTTTGGATGCGGTAAAATTGGTCACACCAAAGAAGCCTGTCCAACCCTTAAACCGGCGACTCCTCAACTCGCAATGGTGGAATTTGGAAAATCGCCAGAGCCGGTGAAGACAGGCTCGCCGGAAGAGGAGAGGAGCGGATTCGGACCATGGATGGTAGTTACGCGGAAATCGCGGAAGGGCAGCAAAATCGCAGAGCTTGGAAAAGGAAATTCACACTCGGATCACGTAGAAGGCATGAGTCAAGGGAACGGAGGGAAAGGAAAGAACACAAACAAGGAAAGCAAGCCTGGTACGGATCATTCTACAGGAAACAAAAAGCAAGCATCTCAACGGGCAGATACCACAAATGGAAATGGAAATTTGGGGAAGGAAGGTAAAGCGTCGGCGAAACAGAAAGGGAAGGCCATAGCGGAAGAAACATCGGCAGGTAATGGGCTTCTTGGGCCGGCCCCCCAATCCACACGGACTAAGTCTCCCAAGTCCAAAGGAAAAGCAACTCAAGAACACCTACAGATGGGAGGCCCGTCAACATCAGAAACTAAGATCAGCCCAAGTGCAGGCCCGAAGGAAGGAAACAAGACTACAACGCAGTCGACCTCTGACTCGCCATCGCTAACATCGGTCCCCAACGCCCGTGGAATGTCGATCCAGATCGTCAATCTCCCCCCCCCTCCGTTCCTGACGCCGGCAAACAGCTGGCGGCGGCGACCCCTTCAGCCTCCGTTCGCACCAAGAACCAAAAAAAGCACCGGAAGAAGCTCCAATCTCCAAGCAAATCCCCTCGGCCTTTGGCAGCGAAGGCTCTCCAGATTTGGACACCAGTGAAGGAGAAGAAGCACAAAGCTCGAACCAAACTAGCTGCCCTCACACTCCAAGAAATCGAGGCATGGACGGGGGCTAAAAAGCACGCAGAGAAAGCGACTCTCACTCCGGAACAGAGCAGCGAGGGTGAAACGATGATCTCTGCCGAGGGCCCAAAAGCTGTCGAAGCATGAACAATCCCCGAGCTCGACCATCGACTCTCCTCCCTTTCCTCTCCTTCTCTTTTTACATTTTTATCATGTCTTTTGCAAATTTGTTAAATGTTAAAATCGTGGCTTGGAACATTGGTGGCGCCGGGAGTCCGGCCTCTGCCAGGGCTCTCAAGCTCATTGTTAAGAGCTGTAAACCTGACTTTCTTTGTCTTTTGGAACCGCAGGTCAGTGGGAGTTCGGCCAACAAAATTTGCGAACGTCTGGGTTTCCCAAATGTAATGAGGGTAGAGGCGGAGGGGAGGAAAGGAGGAGTCTGGCTCTGTTGGAATGCTGCCAATTTCCAACTTCAAGTCGTCTCGGCATGCTCCCAACACCTGACTGTCATGGTCTCATCCGGTTCCTCTCCCAAGTGGCTGTTCACTGCTGTCTATGCGAGCCCCCGCCAGCGCCAACAAAACGCTCTGTGGCAAGCTCTCGTCCGAACAAGCCGATTCAATGACCTGCCGTGGCTTCTTTCTGGCGACTTCAACGCGATTCTGACCCCGGAAGAGAAGACTGGCCCCTCCTCTCCATCCACGCTATACAAATGCAAAACCTTCAGCAGCAAGATCAACCAAGCGGAACTGATCGACCTGGGTTTCTCAGGGTCTCGGTACACCTGGACTAGAGGAGACAACTCCAACACGTTCAAGGCTAGCCGGATCGATCGAAGTTTATGCAACTCCCTCTGGAACTCGACCTTTCCTGACACCGCTGTCACCCACCTGCCTCGCATCCACTCGGACCATCATCCCATCCTTACCACAGTCGGAAATCAGGGAGTTAACCCTTCAATTTCCCGCCCGTTTCGATTTGAAGCTGCATGGCTAACTAGTGACTCTTTTGATCAACTGATTGCAGGAGATTGGGACCATCAAGCGCCTCTTTCCGTGGCCCTGGAGAAGCTGGCTTCCAGCCTTAGCCAATGGAATAAATCCTCTTTCGGCAACATCTTCTATCGAAAACGCCGACTGATGGCCCGCATTCAAGGAATCCAGGAGAGGGTTGCCAATTGTTTCTCACCAGGCCTCTATAAACTGCAGACCAAACTCGAGAAAGAGCTAGACCAGGTGTTAGAACAGGAGGAGCTCTACTGGTTTCAGAGATCGAGGGAAGACTGGGTGCAGTATGGGGAGCGGAACACAAGCTACTTCCACAATCAAGCAATCATTCGCAGGCGCAGGAACAAGATCGACAGTCTCAAAGGGGCCAATGGGGAGTGGATCACGGATCCCAATGAGTTGGCCATGCTGGTTTTTGATTTTTTTGCTGCTTTGTACCTGCAGGAAAATGATATCTACCAGGATCTTATGCCTAAGATGGCTTTTCCCCGTCTCGATCAGGAGGAAATGATGTCTTTGTTGAGACCTTTTCAAGCAGAAGACATACACCGTGCAGTCCACGAGATGAAGCCGTTTCAAGCTCCCGGCCCCGATGGCTTCCATGCTGCCTTCTACCAACGGGCATGGAGGGTGGTGGGGAAATCCTTAATTAATCTGGCTTTGAATTTTTTCCATGCAGGGGGGCTACCGGAGAACATAACCGACTCAACGGTCGTCCTCATTCCTAAAGTGGAGCACCCAGAGATGGCTTCCCAGCTCAGACCCATCTCCCTCAACAATGTCTGTCTGAAAGCCATCACCAAGGCGATCACCAACCGGCTGAAGCCCATTATGAGAAAACTGGTGTCCCCTAGACAGAGCAGTTTCATTCCAGGACGGCAAACCACGGATAACATCATTGTTCTCCAGGAGGTTCTCCACTCCCTGAAGAAGAAGAAGGGAAAGAAGGGAGGGATGGTCTTGAAGATTGACCTGGAGAAGGCTTACGACCGGCTACGGTGGGACTTTCTCCGTGACACCCTCAAGGAAGTTGGCCTCCCTAGCTCGTGGATTAGTTGCATTATGTACTGTGTGGAGAATAACAGGATGCGTCTATTATGGAACGGAGACCTCTCTCAACCAATTACTCCTACCAGAGGAGTCCGTCAGGGAGATCCCCTATCCCCTTACCTGTTTGTTCTTTGTATGGAACGGCTTTCTCACAGGATTGACCAGGCTACCCAGGACAACCTTTGGAAGCCGCTTAAACTATCCAAGGATGGCCCGACCATTTCTCACCTTTTCTTTGCGGATGACTTGGTTTTGTTTGCAGAAGCAGGAGGAGCCCAAGTCAGGATAATTAAGAGATGCCTGAATGAGTTCAGCAGCAGCTCGGGACAACGGGTTAACTATCATAAATCAGCTATTTTCGTTTCCGCGAATATTCATAGAAGAAGAGCTAGGGCTCTAAGTGAGAGCATGGAGATACCGCTCACGGTGGACTTAGGCAGATATCTGGGAGTCATGGCCATCCATGGCAGAGTGACACGAGGCAGATACCAAGACCTAGCCCTCAGAATCCAGAGGAAACTCGCGCCTTGGAAAGCTAAGCACCTCTCCCTTGCCTCTCGCATTACCTTGGTTAAGTCGATTGCTGCGTCTATTCCGGTGTATCCTATGCAGGTAGAGCTTATGCCGAAAACAGTCTGCAAGGACCTGGATAAAATCAATCGCAGCTTCCTCTGGGGTGACTCGGAAGAGAAAAGAAAACTTCATCTTGTGGGCTGGCATCTGCTAACCCTTCCGAAGGATCAAGGAGGCTTGGGTATCCGACCTTCCAGAACGGTCAACCTGGCAATGTTAGCCAAGTGCGGTTGGCGGCTGATGAAGGAGAAGGAGACCCTTTGGACTCAACTGATGCGTGCCAAGTATGGGAAGAACAGGGAGCACCTCGACATCATCAAACCCATAAAGGGAAGTTCCTTTACCTGGAATAGCATCTCTAAAACCAGAGATTTGCTGAAAAGTGGTAGTGCCTGGAACATTCATAGTGGCAAGCTAACCCGTTTTTGGCTTGATGTTTGGATTTCGCAGGTTCCTTTGATCGAGTTGACCACTGGCCCTATCCCAGAGGATGAGAAGAACGGTTTGATAGCTGAGTTCGTGGATGACGATGGCACCTGGCGTACTGAGAAATTCGAAGGAATTCTGCCGCACACTGTGACTCAACAAATCACAGCCCTGGCGGTGGATCCTCTAGCAGGAGAGGATGATGTGCTTTTCTGGCAGCCTACATCAGACGGCCGCTTTTCAACAAAAACTGCTTTTCAGCTCATGCAGCCGAGAGCCTCCAGCGAGACTAACCAGATTTGGAAGGATATTTGGAAGCTTCCAGTGCCGGAAAGAGTGCGGTGCTTCATTTGGGTGGTGGCCCATGACAAAATCAGCAGTAACGTCCAGTTAGTGAAGAGGAAAATTGCTTCCTCACCTTATTGTTACAGATGCACTTCTCATGAGGAGACCACGCTTCATATTCTCAGGGACTGTCCTACAGCAGCCTTCCTCTGGGCTCGCACGGTGCCTCCCGAGAACCAGCAGGATTTCTTCAGCCTTCAGCTCAAAGAATGGCTCGCCAAGAACTTGCAGATGCAGACTGAGACCAGGGGGAATGCTGAGATTCCTTGGAATGCATTCTTCGGCATAGCCATCTGGAATCTTTGGAAAAACAGAAACGAAGGAGTGTTCAAGGGAATCGGTCAGACTCTCTCACCGGCCTCTCTTACCCAAGCCACCAGGATCAAGGCTATGCTGTGGTACAAAGCTTGGGAGGGGCCTAGAAGCATCATTGATAGGCGGCCAGCCCCACCTCAGCGAGTTCCTCGGGAAATTAGCTGGATTCCTCCCCCAGCTGGTTGGGTCAAGATCAACGTGGACGGCGCTGCAAATGGAACTCAGGGACCGGCTGGCGCGGGAGGGGTTCTGCGTAACCACCATGGGGTATGGCTTAAGGGGTTTGTCGCTAAACTGGGTACTTGTTCAGCTATTCAGGCGGAACTTTGGGGAATCTACCACGGGCTGGACATGGCATGGAACGAAGGCAGCAGGGCTGTCATTTTGGAATCAGACTCACAGATGGCGATCCAACTCATAGAGAAGAGAACCGACCCAGTGCACCCGCACGCGACCCTGTTGACAGCGATAAGACGAAAGATAACTCGAGATTGGGTGGTGAGGATAGTTCATACCTACCGAGAAGGGAATAGAGTCGCGGACTGGCTCTCGAAGCACAGTCTCGTCTATCCCTATGGTAAGTATGAACTAGAATTACCACCAAATGGACTTCACCATATCATAGGCGATGATGGTAGAGGGCAATCTTTCCTCAGAGAGGTAGTAAATACCACTGAAACCCCCTCTTCTCTGTAACTTCCCCCCTTCCCCCGTTTGTTTCTGCTTCTATGGCTGCTATGCCTCGCCGGAGAAAAAAAAAAAAATCACCCTCCACTACCTGACTCGCATTAGTTCCCAACATAAAGCACCTTTTTCCATTGGCATTCCCAGCGGAGAAACAACTAAGATGCGAGGAAATACAAAACCTATGCAGGTCAGGTCACACAATAAAGAAGTAAAAAACGTTGATTAACAAGTGTACAATCCAATGATAAAATTAGGGACGGAACCAGGATTTAAAATTAGAGGGGGCCGACAAATTTTTTTTACCTTTGAGTACCGTCAAAAAATTTTCCCCATGACATAATGAATAAACGAAATTAAGTTGAATAATTTATTCTATAAATTTACACAAATAATCGATGATTTATCTACAAAAAATAATTGTGATTAATAATTCATGGATAAAATTTCAGCTTTTTTTACAATCAAAATACAATTACGGTCATGCAATAAAATAAAAATTAAAATCAATTTAGCATGACATTCTGTAAATTCATGAGAAAATAAAAGCTCGTTTGTTATACGGGATCCGACGCATCCAGCAGAGCGAAGCAATGTCCATTCTTTTCGGCGGCATCCTTATGCATTGGCGGCGAGTGGAGTCCCACAATCCCATTCATAATTTTTTATCTACATAAGCCAAAGCCCATAGCACTGGCGACGTCTCCGGCATAAATGCAAGGAGGATGTATAGCTTATATAGGATCTTGTGGAATAGGATTTGATATAAATTTTTTAGCAAACTTGGGATTTGCAATCCCAGGTAAGATCGGTTCAATAGTTTCTGAAAAAAAAGCTAAAAAACAATCACTTATTTGAAATTTATTCAAACAACTACGGGTTACTACAAAAAAATGAAGAACAGTTACATAATTTATGGATTAGATCAAACATTTTCTAGAAGGAAGTGAAGTTGATATAAGAAAAGGAGTAAAAATATGGTCATTTACCTAGAAGGAAGTGAAGTTGATATAAGAAAAGGAGTAAAAATATGGTCATTTACCTGGATCAAACTCTGGTCAATTTACAATACGCTAACCAGAAACCAACATCCCAACCATTTGAGCTATTCACTGATTATGCAACACATTCAATATTATGATAACTCGAATTATTAGGATCAACTAGTTCTCAACATGATAGTAAAACATAATAATTGAAAGGTCTTGTGTTTAAATCTCACAATTCCAATTTAAATCTCTAATTTGAGCTCAAAATATAACATGTCTATAGAAGTTTCCGTATCCTTACAACCTTAACAGTGGTAGCACTATAGTATTGTGACTTTTGTATGTGTTGGATAACGCTGAAGCCAAACCTAGCCCTCTACACTCTAGTGGTACGTACGTAGCTTAAGACTAATTAGGTTTCACGCGCAATTTAGTTGACAGAATAACAGAGACAGCTAAACAACTCAAAAGGAATTTGGGGCAGAGGCAGACCATATACATATTCACATTTGACAACAGAGCAAATGAAAGCAAGTGAAACACATTTATATATATATATATATATATATATATATATATATATATATATATATATATATATATATTTTACGCGTAAATTATGTCGGCACATGTAGGCTTAGCATTGAGTATTAATATTATATGCATAATATTTGGGAGAAGCCTTTGCAATGTGTCCAAGAGTATCACTTTCTGCTTTGTGACATTTAGAAGCAACCTGCCACACTGAAACACATGAGATTTTGGGAATATTAGCTGCACATCTATGTATATTGACAGAACTCTCTTGCCAACCATGCATACAAATTAGTTGACAAGGATTTATTATTATTATTATTGAGAGCTTTCACTACCAATTTTGAGGGTTCTTTCATCTCAGTTCGAAGTTTTGAAGGGTTATTGAGGATCTTCAACTGCTTCGATGGTCAAGATGTTGGAAGGTAGTTTAGCAGTTGGCTTTCACGACAACAATGCAGCTCTTGACGATTTTGGAGGAGTCATCGCAACAACCTTGTTCTTCGGTTTTGTATCATCCACGACCCAACGAGATCGTTTTCATGTTTGGTGTTTGTGATTCTAGAATGTGTATGTAAGCAGCGATACATGCATTGCAGAGAATACATTTTTTTTTGTGTCAAAATGAAATAGATTGCACGCATTTGAAACTTGATTTGATATTTTAAATACTTCATTTTGAATAATTTACAATCTCAACAAAAAGTTAAAATTTTTAAGATTAATTATAGATCCAAATACATTCATTTAAACAATACACCTATTTATAATACAAACATTCCAACAATACATGAATTATAACAATCACAAACACCGAATATTTACTTATTTATTTATTTATGGATTTCTCATGTATAGCAAGGAAAACCTTTTGGTAGAGAGTCTAACTTGTAAGGTTTTATTGATATTCTTGTAGAATAAAATTGATATTCTCAAAGTATTAATATTATTATAAAATAAAACACCTAATAAAGAAAGCCTTTTTGTGCAGTCCCACATTTTTGTATTATTAAGGGCAACAGCCAAAATCAGATGGTGCCCATGCGTCCTCTGTTAGAAACACCTAACCTAGATACGTCCAAACAGTAGAGCCCTATTTGATAACCAAAAAATTGATTAATTAGTTTAGTAGGACCGTTTTTAATATCCTCAGCTACCTCCCTTTCCTTCCTTTTGATTTATTTATTCCTCATCTAACAAGCTCCCATGTGTTGTGTAATACGTCCTAATCGATCAATAATTCGATTTTAAAACAACTGCTGATTAATTAATTAATAAATAAACCATTTGAACAGTGAGGCGGGCATTTGTAAATTGATCAGCAGCCCCAATAATAAAGCATTGCTTTCAGGGGGCTCTTTGCACTTTGCTTCTCAATATTATGCCTTCATGAAAAGAGACAATTTTTGCTTGGGTTACTAGTTTCTTTGCTGCCCATTTTTATAATAAAACACCAATGGATGTGTGCTTGGCTTTTCCCTTAGCAAGTTTCTCTCATTTAATAATTGTAAGCACCTTTTGCTACTACAAGGCCCCTTTTTATTCCTTTTGGGACCTCTAGTGCTGGGCTGGGTGGCTGCCGGATTTCGATGCTTGAGGTTTACGATGGAAGAAAGGAACAAAGACTAACAGGAAATATTGGAGCAGTTGGTCCTATCTATCTATGAATCTAGCTATCCTAAGCCCCTAAACTTGTTCATTTTTTGGCACTAGCCTATATATAATTATTTATCGAAGCATTTTATGTACATACATACAGATATATCTAGGAGGTGTATGGTGCTTGATGCACGTCAAGTTAGTTTATATTCGGAAATTTGTCATTGCTTCAAACAAGCAAGTTACAAAATCTCTCTCCTTAGGACAAGAATGATCCATTTTTAAGTTATAACAAAAGAAAAAACAGACTTTATTTTACCAATCACGAGATACGAAGTGCCTTGATCAGATTACATGATAAATTAATGAGGATAACTGATATTCTGTAGAAAAAAGATTGGTTGGTGAAAATGATTGGTATAGTTCAAGTTGTATAAGCATAATATGGTATTAGGCGATTAATACTCAAACCACTTGAAACAAGATAACTCATGTGTGTGAGTTATAAAAATGAGGTGTGTCTTCCTTTTTATGTGGGACGATGTTATAGAAGCATCACTCTTTTTCTTGCCACGTATTTATTAAAAGATGTTTCCTAAAGACATATAAAAAATAATATATATATATATATATATATTATCATGTTCCAAAACAGGTAGTAAAAAAAGACAGGTGGCTTTCCAGCCAAAAACTCCTCTGCATCCCAATGACACTGCATATGGGCTAATAAATGGGCTATTTGGTTGCACTCTCTTCTTGCAAAGCTCCATTGGATCGGCCTACTCCGGTTGGATTCAATTTCGATCTACGCGAGCAAAAGCCCAACCTCCGTCCTTGTCTTCACCTTGTTCTTCACCGACAAAAAAACTGTCTGGCAATCCGTCTCTACAACGATCTGTGGGAGGGATACATTTCCTTCAAACGGAGACCAAATTGGATCGCGCAGATTTTAGCCACTAGGCGAGTTCTCGTCTGACTGCCGCATATAGAAAGTTTCCCATCTCGTCTCGCACAACAACTCCATACCCTGTGCCCTCACTCGTCAGCACCGCCGCATCAACGTTCATCTTCATCCAATCCTCCGGCTGCTTTTGCCAGGTACGAATTCGCTCCTCTGCCTGATTGTGTCATGGGTGTTGTGATTTTGGTATTCCTCCCAACGAGCAATCATTTTGCCAGCAATTTCCCATTCCTCTGCCTTGTGGTTGTTGAAACATTGATTGTTTCTTTCATACTAAATGAACCATAGTAGAACCCCAAACTGCCCAAAAGTTTCATCGTCTGTCATCTCCATTACTTCACACAACCAACTCCCAGATGATAGAGTTCCATCTAGTTCAAATAGGTTCCTGAAGGAGGTAGGCCTCCAAATTCGAATTGCCCACTCACATTCCCTGAAAATGTGATTTTGGGTTTCCTCCAGATCGCAAAAGGGACAGTTGGGACTTGCATCCTTCTTCATTGTCTCGATGTTCTTCCCTGTGGGAAGTATATTGTGTGCCAATCTCCATAGGAAAACTCGTACCTTTGGGGGGATAGAAAGTTTCCATAGTTGCTTCCAGTTCATAGGGTCAACTCCTCCACTCCTGTGACCTGCTCCTCCTTAGGATCGAGCACCATTTCCTACCAGTCTATCTCTTTTTCTATTTTCTTCTTGAACCAATACCAACAAGCTGTTTTAACAGAGTAAGTTCCATTCTTCTCGAAGCACCAAACTCTTTCATCCGGTGCTTGTTGTCTAGGGATTGGGGTCCCTTGAATTCTGACTCTATCCACTAGATTAAAGTGTTGTTGTATGATGTTAAATTTCCGTGCCCTGACTTCATGATCAATCAACTCAGCGACTATAGATGTTTCCCCGATGGCACACTGTGGAGTTTTTATCCTATA